GAGGCATGGGGAGGAGGGTGCCACACCCCCAGGTGGTCATATTTATGTTGCCTGGTTACGGAGTTAGAACTGTTCCTCTAGGGACAAACTGGATATCTTTGGACCAGTCTATCTAAGAACAAGGATGGGGTCCTCAGGTTGGGAAGAAAGTGTCAAATGGGAAGTTAGGGAATGTGGAAGTTTAAAGTGAAGGCATCTTTCTTTTCTCCCTGTGTGTCATTGTTTAGTCATGGATACGCTAGAGAAGTGAATACATATATGAATGAATGAAAATGAAAGATACATGAGTAAAATAAAAACCTTAAAAAAGGAACTCACTGGCTATACCACTAAGTTCATGCTCTTCAAGTAAAGCCTGGACTATTTGTCAAAGCCTTTTTTTGCCTCTAATGTAAGAGGGAGGATCTGTCATAGTGAAGGGGCCTGGGATTTTGGAAGGCAAGTCATTGCTGACAGAAAATAATGCTACTGACTCAAAAAGAGATCTCCTCCCAGAAAAATGAATTCACTGACAATAACACCATCATGTTGTATGACAGTAAATTTCATATCTCCTGAAAATTGGCATTGATTCAAAACAAGGGACTGAAAGAAAATAGATTGGGACAAAATAAAATCAGTCAGACCCCAAGTCATGAGGAAGGAATCAGGGTCACAAGGTGCAAAGCAGAACTTGCAGCATGAGACCAAACTGCTGCTTTCTCGGCAGGCTGTCCAGGCCGGCTGATGGAGGGTGAATGCTTGAGGCAACGCCGCAAAGGGGAGACGCTCTAGTGAAACTCCTCATCCACCTCCTGTGCCGTCTCAACAGAGAATAGTTCTATTAAATTAGCAGATGTAATTTTCTGCTCTCTAAGAATGCTTTTAAAAATCCCCTTCAAAATATGTACAACTAGCTTACTTTGTCATTGCAAGGGCGTCGTCGGGTGTGACGTTTCTAGAATTAACCACACATACGGCAACGCACACCCAGGCTCTGCTTTCCTTCATGTACCAGGTTGGTCAGTCTATCGGCAAATCGTCATCAGACAGCAAACACTGGGCTAGGGTCTTTGCCTGAGAGAAGAGGAGGGTTGTAAATTTCCTTGAGGGGTTTTAGGTCACTGAAATAGGAATTGCGTGTCTTTAAATATCTCTACAACTTGGCATCTCCTGCTGGAACTCAACAGATCCTAAAGGCCAATTGTCATACTTAGGACAACTTAAAATAATTCACAGTCACAATGGTAGTCTTTTGTGAGGGCAATTGCCCTAGCTGACCAGCTTTCTGGGGATATCAGATACACCCACTTAAAATAAGTGCAAATCATTTTAAAATATCACAAACCCCCTTTGAGGACCAGCCACTCCAGGGCTTCTTAGCTATGATGTTCTCTTAGAGGCCCAGCCCTGTAGGGACACATCCCCCCAAAAAAGGCAGCATGTTGGCTGGGCCTCCCTCAAACCACCCCATAGAAAAGAGAACCCTACCCTAACCAGGACCTCTGGCTTTCTGTTAGGGTGAGGTTCTGAGGGACCTTTCATCATATCGTTTGTTGTCCGTATGACTTGGATTTTCAAAAGCAAATGTACTTTGTTTCTATAATTAGGGAAAAATGTTATTTTTTAAATGTCATCCTTTATATTGCTAGCTTTTATGTATTCTACCCATGAATGATCTTGACCTCTTCCTCAAAAAGTCCTTCACTTATCAGATGACAGACTGAATGAAAGACGAGGGAAGCAAACAATGAAACAATTTGTTTTAGCCTATGATGAATCACAGAGTGGTCTGAAGGGTAACGTTGTGCTTTCTGTTATTTGGTTTTTAATCTTAGTTCATTTGGATAGGGACAGATCAATAATGGCCCAGGGGTAACATCCGGCTTGGTTCGTTTGATTTTTAATAATCCTAACTCTACTCAGGTGACCTAGTGACTGTGGCAGAGCCTCAGGCCTCAGAGGTGGTGTCACTGCCAGTCAGCGTTGATGAGCAGTGACAGGCCCTGTCGGATGATTGATTCCCAGGGCTCTAGAGAGGTACCAGGGGTTTGCAGGGCATGAGCAGGGGGTGGTAGCCAGGACTATGGAGGAGCCGCCTCAGGCAGGGCTAAGCCTCCAACACCACCCCGCTCTCCTGTCACTGTGCTGCAAGGGTCTGCAGAGGGACCCTACCACGTGACTTCCTGCCGTCCTGTGCCAGGCACTCCTAGAGGATTTTCCCGAGGGTCATGGCCACTTGAGTTCAACAGAGGAACTAGCTGTGTATAGCTGTGTATGAACTCGTCGTGCCTTTCCTGAAGGAAGAAATATCTAATCTCAGGTTATTTTAAAGTAGTCCTTTGTTGATTCCTGATACTGTCCCTCGCCATTTCCTGGGAATTTCCTCTACTTGAAATCTGTGCACTCATGCCGCTAGCAGGTCAGACCCCATGTGGCAGAAGCGAGGGGCCATGCAGATATGCGTAGCTGAAGACGCGCTGAGAGCAGGGAGTAGAAGCACTTATCAGATGGCTTTCGTGTAGACAGGTCATTTGCTCCCCATCTGATTATTTAATTTCCTTGGGCTCCAGTTTATTCCTGATGGAAGAGGGTTCCATTGGGTCCTCTTTGGTGGGGTAGGGTAAGCTTTCAGGATCTGGAGCTAGATCCTTTTGGACCGCATTCACTTTCTTTATAAAGTCTTCGCCTCTGCTCTCTTGTCCTTTTATTTCCAGAGTCACACTTTGCAGTTAAACAATTAGTAAACTGTGAAGTGAAATACACCAGTATCCCCAGTGCTAAGTGCTAAATAGCTAACGTCTGAACATCCCATTTGAGTGGTCTTTTTTCCTCTTCTATTTACTCTCCTTATGTACGTGTGTGTGTTTAATTAATTGGATCAACATTTGGCTTAGGACCGTGAGCACACCCTGCACCAGGCTCTGTGCGAAGTGCTGAGGATGGCAGTCCCAGCTCCCAGAGAATTCAGAGTCAATTTTGCAAGATAGACATTAAACAAATATATACATAAATAGTTCATTAGAATTATTTTTAAAACTGTCAAAAATAATAACTACAGGGTACTATTCCCGGGCCTCTGTCATGGGGGAAGGGGGAGCACAGGGGAGGCCAAGGAGTGAGAGGTTTGGAGGAGGAAATGCTAAGGGAAATTCAGAGTGGGCAGCAGGAATAGATCACTGGAGTCTCCAAGGAGGGAGAAATAAATGCCTCTGGAGACCATAGGATTCCCAAGTGGCCAGAATGTCGCAGGTCAGGAGGAGGGAGGGCCAGATCCACTTCGCATGTTTGTATGAAGTAAGTCCCAAACTGGTGTTTAGAGTTTTAGCCTGAAGGAAGTGTGAAGCCACTAAAACAAGGGAGGATGACATCAGGTTTCCTTTTTCAATAAAGCATTCTGTCTAATGTGGAGAATGTATTAAGAGCAAGGGTGCAGACGAGGAGGCCAGTTAGGCTCCATGGGAGCTGCGTGGGAGAAAGAGGTTTGGACCATGCTAGAGGAGGCAAAAATGGTGAGAGGCAGATTAATTCTAGAACCATTAAAAGGTAAGAGCAGATGAACTCAGTGCTTGGTTGGACAAAAAGGATAAAGACAGAGGACTGGAGAAAGAATGCTGTCCAAGTTCCTGATGGGGAGTTCTAAGTAGCAGAGGAACCATGACGAAGGCTGGGCTTTTAAGGGAGGCTCAGGCTTAGGCATAAAGATCCTGAGTTTTTCTTGCATGGTGGTTGGGTGGCTGCATGATGCTCCAGTGGATGGGGACTGGGCTTGGACATCAGATGAGTGCTCTGAGCTATACAGAAATTGGGGAGTTGTTGATGTTCACGTGATAACTGAGGCCAGAGGCAGGGACATGGGCCTAGTGTGTTTCTCCTGCATCTTTTCCTGGTTGGCCCTTCTCCAAGGGGAAGGCAGTGCAGGGAAGCCTGCAAATGGGGCAGAGCTGGGGCAGTCTGAGAAGCAGCCAGGAAGCCCGTGGCCACAGCAGGGAGCAGGAAGGAGCAAGGCGCTGCACGGCACGCATCACCACTGAGAAGTCCAGTGGTGTCCACCAGGGTATTTGACACAGAGCAGGATCTCAGTACGTGGGTGTTGAATTCTGTTCCTCTTTTATTCAGATCTGCTTGGACCAGGCTTGAGAACATAATCTCTGCACCCAGAATGCAAGCTTGCTATTGCTTCTTACGTGAATTCATTTGTCAGCAAAGCTTCAGATTTCCTCGGGGTTTGGGAATGCTGACATCATAGACTGCTTTTTTCCTGGAATCAGGGATATTGATTATTTTCATGGTGACTCTAGCTCCAAAGGAAGATGAGGTTATACAATCAGAATAAAGACTCATGAACCAAAACAATACCCTGACAGATGATGCCATCTGCAGCTTCCCCATGGCTGGCATCTCTGCTCAAGTCCTGGATGCTAATTTTGGACATGGTAGCTCTAAAGTGCCAGTGGTGTGACCAATGGTGCTAAGTTGATTGTGGTGACAGACACTCTGCAGGACATCAAGTGGAAGGGAACGGGCTTCTTGAGTCTTTCCCATCTGAGTAAATGCCCGAGGGAGTAAGGGCACTGAAACAGGCAGTGAATTTTCAGCAGTTTAATTGTAGCTCCCCTTCCTTTGTGGTTGAGGGAGCTTCAGGAGTGGATCATATGTGAGGATGCTTTTAGTAGCTTTCTCAGACGGCTGGGAGAGCAGAACTTCTCCTTCCCCACAAACACCCACACCAAATCCTTGTTTCTTGAAAAAGAAAAAAAAGATTTCTAGGCCCATGAGTCTCATTCCTTAAATTTTAAAATCAAATCAAATTACTTGTGGCACAGAATAGTGTTGCTTGCAACTTTATCCACTTTATCAAAATGAGTGTGGTCCTTGTGTGATTTTTCCTTTTGCACGTCGGTTGCCCAAGCCAGGTGTCTTGGCGGGGGTGGAGGGAACAATGTTGTTTGTGTGGGTAATGTTGCTGATTTTGTTTGCTCGGGATACACGCTAAGTTAACCTCGTTGGACTTTTCCCCAGGAATTGATGCGCGTACACGTGGTGGGTCATTATGCTGCTGCACCTGTGTAGTGTGAAGGTCAGTGTGCTTTTCTGATTATAAGAAACCATCCATGTCATTCCATTATAAACCCACTCCACTCATAATGGAATGTGCCTCTCAGCCCAGGGCCGCTGCGGCTGCCCAGCCCAGGAATTATCTCAAGTGTGGCCGGACATTTGAGATCCATCACCCTCCCTCCCCACCACCTGCATCCACCCCAGAATTTGACTGTGCTCCATTTTGAGATGATGTTCTTTGCATGTCAAGTCCCCCTTGTGTGATGTGAATGTACAGTTGTTACAAGTGAATTTGTACCTGGAAATACTCTGTGATGCTACTTCCAGAATTGCAGCTGAGAGCTCTGCTCTCTATGGGTAATTGCTGTGCAGTTGATATGGACAGACAGAAATAGACCTTGAGACAAGAGCATTGGCTTCTCCTCCTGACTCAGAGCCAGGTCATCCTCTGGGAGGCTGATGGCTCATTAGGATGGGCCCTTGCAGCTGGGTGGCTTTCCCTGGAATGCTTTCCACCAGCTCCCCTAAGACGTTCTGCCAAGGCCCCCTCCTTCCTCTGTGTCATCGTTTGACTTTTGGTGACAGCCCAGGTTTATAATCGTCACAGCTCACATTTACTGGTCACCATGCATTATGGTTTGTGCCAAATGCTCTTTCCCCGTGAGCTCCTCTCCTGAGAGGTAGGTATGATCATTTTCCCCATTTGTTGTACGAGGGAACTGAGTCATAGAGGGTTGAGTGACTGCTCTGGAGTCTCCTAGTATGTAAGTGAGGAGCACTGATTCCAGCTGAGCTCTGCCTGTATGAGCTGGAGTCCATCCACTGGGCCCTGTGCTGCTCGGGTGATACCCAGCCAATCCTGACATGAGGCTTTTCTCTAAAAAATAAATAAAAGCTCACATTTGCATAGCACTTTGCAAATCTATTAAGCATATCCACATGCATATTCAGCTAATCCTTGAAATAACCCTGCAAGAAAGAGAGAGGCGCCCTGAGATGTTCAGTGTGTGCCTCGGTACGCGTCAGCAGGCAGCAGGATGAGGCCACGCTCACGTGCAGAGGCAGCTTCTCCTCTGCCACGGTGCCCTGCTGCTTACTCATGCAGAGGGCAGCTCTCTTAATTCACAAGTTCTGCCTGATACGCTTAAAGAATGAGCATAGCATGTGTTAGATTCAGGAGGCATTAAATTAGAACTTAATCCCGTGCTGCCAAACATCCAGGGACAGGCTCAGCACACCCGCTTAAATTCCCCTTTATCTCCTTCAGTATCCCAGTGTGGTTTGTGCTTAGGGGCCACTTCCTCTGTACCATTTTCACACCTCAGAGTTCAGCAGAGCCTTGATTTCCCCAGTTCATTCAGCTTACTCCACCCTCCAGCCGTCCCTTGGAGAAGGCGTAACTTTTGCTAAGAGAAGGTTTTTTCATAGCACTCAGTCTCTCTGCATTCCCCTTGGACTTCCGTGTTTTCTCTTTGGCTTTAAAGATAGAGTGAGAAGTATTTGTTAAATACCAAGTAGTTCCTTCTGGGCGCATTTCACATTCAGGAAGAATCTCCCTTCTTTCTGCTTTTCAGGACTAGTGTCCTTGGGAAGTTAGGGCTTCTCAGTCCTAGACAACCTGAGCTCGTGGCATCTTCAGATACAAGCTTTGCCTTGAAGTAAAACTCCTGGAACCTAACAGCAAAGCCAAATGTGCACACAGATCATCATAGGGGGTTTTATTCAGTGATCTAGGAAACAAGGCCAGGTATTCTCCCCTGACATTATGTGACTTGAGTTCTCACCCAGTAACGTGAAAGAGAAGACTGGGATGCCAGCTGATGCTCTCAGGGACTTAGCTTGTGAAGCAGAACCTGAGCCTGAGTACAGCCTCCTGCAATGACACAGGGAACAGGGAACCTGAAAGCACAGGATGCAGTAACTTGATTTTCAGGTTCCCTGGAAGGTAAATGTAAAGCTCCTTACCCCGAGTCTTACTCGGTAAAGGGAATCTATGGCCCCATAACTTCGGTACTTTCATGTAAATCTTCAAAATTCAAAATAATCCCGAAGTTTCCTACACCTTCCTCTAATATTTTATAAGAAGATTCATCATGCTCTGAAATGAGTCTGCAGAACTACTAGCTGGACTTGTAAAAATATCTGAAATAAGCTCTGGAGGCTAAGGCTGGAGGATCACTTGAGGCCAGGAATGTGAGACAGCCTGAGCAACATAGTGAGGTCCCATTATTTTCTACAAAAAAAAAAAAAAAAAAAAAAAAATTAGCTGGGCATGGTGGTGTGTGTCTGTAGTCCCAGCTACTGAGGAGGCTAAGCAGGGAGAATCACTTGAGCCCAAGAGTTCAAGGCTACAGTGAGCTATGAAGGCACCACTGCATTCTGGTCTGGGCGACATAGTAAGACATTGCCTCTAAAAAAAAAAAAAACCAAAGAAGAAAAGAAGAGAAAAAAACTAGGGATCGTTTGGTTGACCACTTAATGTCGGTATATTTTTAGCTTCTAGAATGATCTTCTAGGCAGGATGAATGCTCATCTCTGGAAGAGGCTGAAACAGGAAAGAATTTTATGCTATAACCACCAGTTCTCAACCAGGGGTATATCGCAGACACCAAGCCTAGCTGTGAACGTGGAGCCTGTGCACTTGCACACTGAAAAGGTCTCTGGGTGATTCTGGTATGCACTCCTGGTTGAGAAACACTAGCTAGACCTGACGGGAACCAAGCCTCTCCACGTCTGTGAATAAGAGAATGAAAAGGAAATTTGTGCCGAAGATCTTTATGCTACAAAAACAAGTATCTTGTCACGCAAAGATGGCTTTCTGAAGCCTATCAAAGGTCCTTTTTGGAGCAAAAACCAAACATACATTGCAAATGACTGGCATCTCTGTGTCTGTTGGGTCCCCCGAGAGGGCAAGAGAGAACTAATGCTTATGAAAGGGAAAGGGAGGAAGGAGGATTGTGCAGGCCGCAGCCTGGCAGAGCCTCTGCCAACCCTGTGGACTCTCAGGAGCAAAAACTGCCTGTTCAGAGACCCCGTGTTGGGTGGCAATGGCTCTTGCACTCCCACCTGGCTTAGTGTTAGGCCAAGGTACCCTGAAAAGAGCCTGAGCACCCCTCCAAACATAGGTGGAGTGGAAGGAGTTGGTGGCTGGAAGCTGTCAGCTGACAGCATCCTGACAACTGGGCAATGAATCCATTCTGAAAAGAGAAAGCATAACTCCATGTCTGCTGTCTTCTCCAAAGACTAGAAAACCAGTTCCTCTGGGCTGTGCAGAGTTTAGCTTTGTTTTGACCACAATGACAAGGTGTAGTCCTTTGGTGGAATTGACTGCCATAAGGTAGAGGAATGAAGGGCGGACAATGGAATAAATAGGCAGGAAAACTTGGTTCATTTGATTTCCAGCTGTTTAGGGCATGTGCTAGATAGCATGACATGGAAGAATAGGGCACTAAGATTTGAGGGATCATAATAACTTCTCATGTAGAAAGTGAAGCCCAGGCCAGGCACAGTGGCTCCCACCTGTAATCCCAGCACTTTGGGAGGGAGAGAGCAGGAGGATAGCTTGAGTCCAGTTCTATACAAGCCTGGGCAACATTGCAAGACCCCGTCTCTAATAAAAATTTAAAAATGTAGACCAGCATGGCAGTGTACCTGTAGTCGCAGCTACTCTGGAGGTTGAGGCAGGAGGATTGCTTGAGCCCAGGAGTTAGAGGCTGCAGTGGGCTATAATTGTGCCACCGCACTCCAGCCTAGGCAATAGAGGGAGATGCTCTTGAAGGAAAGAGAGAGAGAGAAAGAGGAAGGAAGGGGAAAGGGAGGGAGGGAAAGAGGAAAAAAGAGAAAGAGGAGGGAGGAAGGAAGGGAAGGGAGGGAGGGGAGGAAGGAAGGAGAAAAAGAAAGCAATGGAGGGAGGAAAGAAAAGAGAGGAGGAGAGGAGGAAAAAGAAAGAGAGAGGAACCCAGAGAGGTTGTGTGTCATCGGAGATCACCTAGAGACGGTGAGGGGGCTCAGGTGGAGCCCCAGAGCTCCTGACGGCACACCCCTCTTGCCACATCAGTTTCCTGCACCCCAAACGCTACACGATAAAGAAAATCTGTGGCTCCGGAACTTTTATGTTCTTGCTTAAATCTTTCAAACTGAAAGTGATCCTAAGGTTCCCTACACCGTACCCAACCCCACCACGTCCTTCGTCTGGACACATCCTGGGTCTAGAATGTATCAGGAGGCAGAGGTGTAGATTCTCGGGCGTCTGAAACCACAGCCAGCTTCCCTGAACTTCCACTGTGTCTCTGGCTTTCGTTTATAATGTCGTGCAGACATAAACTGACAAAGTCATGAGAAGCGTCTCTTCTTGCCCTGCAATTTGCCATCCTGGCACCAACAGAAAATCAGGACATCATTAATTCTCTACACTTACTGATTTGGGACCTCCATGGAAAGGCTGGCTGCTTTCCTCTCCCTCCTCCTCCTCGTCTTCCTCCTCCTCCCCCTCCTGCTCCTCTTCCCCCATCTCCCCATCTCCTCCTGTTTCCCCTCCCCCACCTGATAGTTTTCAGGCTCTGAGTCCAAAGAGAAAGGGGTTGAATCTGCGTGCACGTGAGGCCACGAGCTCCAGACCCCACCGACGTAGGGCCCGCCCCGCCTCCGCGCTAGCTCTTCTCCAGCCACTGCCTGAACTCGGGTTCCCCGGACCTTAGGAGATGAACAGTGTGGTCCAGCGGGGCCCCGGGTGCGCTGAGTCATGCCCTTGGCAGGGTCGAGGAGCTCCCGCGAGGAGACCAATGGCCTGGCGGGAGTCTGCTTCGGGGACTGCTCGCCCTCTGCCCCTCTAGGTGCTGGGCGCCGCCCGTCCCCACCTCCGTCACAACTCGGGTCCTCTGCAGAGCCTCGGCCCCGTACCTGGATGTGACTCCGCCACCAACATGTTCCCAGCAGGAAGCAGCAAGCTCAGCACAGAAATAAAACTGTCCCGCTGAGCCGCTCACAGCCTGTCCCAGGCGCTGTTCCGGAGCGTCAGCC